GTCACCCTAAGTTATATTCCATTATCACATGTCACCCTAAGTTACATTCCATTATCACATGTCACCCTAAGTTACATTCCCTTATCACATGTCATCTTAAGTTACATTCCATTATTACATGGCACTAAGTTACATTCCATTATCACATGTCACCCTAAGTTGCATTCCCTTATCACATATCACCCTAAGTTACATTCCATTATCACATGTCACCCTAAGTTACATTCCATTATCACATGTCACCCTAAGTTACATTCCATTATCACATGTCACCCTAAGTTGCATTCCCTTATCACATGCCACCCTAAGTTACATTCCATTATCATGTCACCCTAAGTTACATTTCCTTATCACATGTCACCCTAAGTTGTATTCTCTTATCACATGTCACCCTAAGTCATTCCCTTATCACATGTCACCCTAAGTTACATTCCTTTATCACATGTCACCCTAAGTTACATTTCCTTATTACATGTCACCCTAAGTTGCATTCCCTTATCACATGTCACCCTAAGTTACATTCCATTATCACATGGCACCCTAGGTTACATTCCATTATCACATGGCACCCTAGGTTACATTCCATTATCACATGTCAGCCTAAGTAACATTCCGTTTATCGTCATGGATTTCAACGATTTCACTGCTCTCCAAATGAAATGTTGATAAAAATCGGTAAACTCAAAACAATATCTGTCTGTATGATCCAAAATAATGATAAAATTTAGTGAAAATTTTATGAAATGTGGAAATAATTACACTACATGTCTTAGGTGAGAAACATATTTGGCACTCAAAAGCTTAAGACATCCTTAGTACTATTAGACTCACTATTTCGTCTCTAGACTAGATAAGTTATTTTGATGAATCATGCGTTAACAAGTACATGTACTAGTAACAGATGATTTATTAAGAGGTCTAAGTGGAGCTATCATGATGAAACCACAGATAAAATATATTACTACTGTATTCAGCCTTGTTAGCTCCCATGTCCGGTCAATCACCTCATTCATCCGCCATTTATCCTATATGCAAAAAAGAACAATGGCAAAACAATGTTTGTCACATAATAATACAGGAATATTTGTACAGTAGTTATCTTGTTGAAGGATGATTAATTGTCCCAAAAAACTTATTTCTTTTTTTAGCTCTGCTGTTGACTTAGTCGAGCGAAGTTAATCATATTATTACTAATTGTCTGTCGTCATCTGTGTCAACTTTTTACCTTTTCTACTTCTTCTTGAAAACTGCAAGTCTGATTGCTTTAATGTTTTTGGTGTATGGAGTATGTTCCTTGGGTAGACTTCTTTCACTTTTGTTCATTCCTTGATGATATCTTTAATTCTCAACTTTTAATGAATATTTTTGTAATTTTTCGTAAAAAGTGATATTTTCAACTTCTTAAAAAACACAAGTCTGATTGCTTTGATATTATATATATATAGGCACTACAGGTAAACCTCTTTCAGATTTGTTCATTATTTGATATTATTAATTCTCAAAATTTTAATATTTTTGTCATTTTTGGTAAAAAGTGATATTTTCGACTTCTTGCCATAACATACTGGGCAGTCACCTCTGGTGAACCTCTCTCAGATTTGTTCATTTTGTGATGATATCTTCAATTCTCTAATTGAAATGCTTAGTGCTAACAACAGAGCCATTTCAGCCAAGTGGCTGCTTGTTTGGTGTTTGGTTGGTAGTTAGAGTATGAATAATATGTTACTATAGTAGGACTTTCTAATTGCCGACATTCACTTTATTATGCTTGATTTAAGTGATTCATTGCATATGACAATTCATTGCTGAATAATTGAACAGTTTCCTGGGTACTGAACGGAAATTCACCGTAGTGAGGTTTAGTTCATGTCAATGAATGCAGCATTACGTGTGTTCCCATATTGGTTATATATTTATATATATATTTGGTGGTTGTAATTAATTTAATGAAAAACAGCAGCTTGGAGTAGATCAGAAAGATTGACACTCGGTTTAATCCCAGAACGAATAGTTTATTTGGTATATTTTAATATGTATACTGCATGTAGGGATGCATCATTAGTCCTCATGACTGTAGTTTTTAATATTTTATAAATATAGACTTACTTTAGGACTGTGTAAACGCACAAACGGAATTTCACATGAGCATTTTCAAAGTTGGTTGAGAATGAAATCTAGTTCAACTTAATTATGGTCACAGGTCGAGTGAAAACATTGCTTAAAAATCTGCTTTGGTTTAACATAGAAATACATGTTACTGGTAAATACTTTATTTTCGCTTAGAATTAATTTTCGCTATTTTCGTTGTTGTTGTTTCGTTATTTAGATAGTGCATTAAACTGATATTTTGATTTTGTTTTATAAATAATTGTTCCACCATTCTTTTTGCTTATATTTTGGCCAGTATTTATTCTTGCTAAATAGTAAATATTTGATTGTTTGGAAACTTTTATTACCATGTAAAATCCTCACTACCTACTACATCTTCAGATTTATTCTTCCAAAATATTGTATCTATGTACAAGGGCAAGATTGTTAAACTATGTAATTGTTTTTTTGTTTTTTTTACTGTTCCTGTCGTAATGCGTAGACTATATTTATTACCGCTAACCCACTCACTGGACACGCACCAGTGACTGTACAATCTTGCTCAATTTTGGGAATAATTTTTCGTCATTCGGCAATTTATATGGCTAGATAAAATCAATTAAAATGAATTGAATCTTTTATTGATATTGATATCAATGTGTCCTTAAGTATTAGTTTTAATGTTGATGTTGATTTGACCTAACAATTAGTAGCACATGTGCTTACATAAATTACAAAGATTTTTCTATGCTCAAATTGAGTGATATTTTAATTATTTAATGTACAGCCAAAGCGGATTTTGGTTTATATTTGCTTCTATTGAAAATGCACTTTCACTTATAAAAGAAAATACTGTATTTCAGATGGTATTTGCTCTCATTCTAATGTTTGAAATTTCTCGCATTTTGGGTTAAACTACATCACAAACATTTAACTGTTATAAATTATATACTTCTATGTTCACATTGTATTTTGGGACGTTCTTGCATGTGACAGAAATAGAGTACTGTAAAATACTAATTTTTGCTTGGATTTAATTTAATATTTTCATTGAAGGAATGATTCAGTGAAAATAAAATCCAGCGAATATACCTTTTTTCCTACATTTTACATTCACCTCGTCAAAAATGAAAATTGTGAAAATAAATTCCATACAAAACACCCAAAAACAGTTTTCAGCGAAAAATAATTCCAGCTAAAATAAAGTATTCTACAGAAACTGAGCACAAACAGCCACACAGATCATTTGACGTTTTGTTGTTTTATGCCAACATTTTCGATCGTTATGTCTCTCTCAATTATTACTAGAAGAAGGAATAAGCAAGATAATACCGCAAAATTTACATTTAGGCAGTATGGAGTTGCATTGACCTCTGTTAACCGTTGTAAGATTCAATCATTGAACTATTTTCATGTGTGCTTTGCGGTATTCATGTGATTACCTCATAATAGACGTACATTATAAAGTAGCGGATGTGTCAAATATTTGTAAATGTTTACAGTAGAGTTCAGACTGTTACAGATTGTCCGTAATTGTTATAAATCACAGTCTGTATTCATCTGTACTCTTAACAATGATTATCTCACAGACGCAACTTGTGCAGGAAATGTTTTCTATTGATCTTTTTTTTTTTTTTATATTTTATTGAGACTTATGATTTGTGCTCACTTCTGTGCTCAAAATCATGATTCTGGTCACAATCACACATTGACGAAAACAGTATTTCTTTAAGGTTTGAGTGAAAATGATTTTCTTTACTTTTCAGTGTACTTGTCACATGTCTGTGATGGAAAATAAATTCCAACATAACTACCAGCGCAGGATTGAAATTCCAGCCTTCGCAATCTAATTAATTATTTATTTTTATTTACATGCATTTTAAATAAAATATTCCATTGTTGATTTCAAGTTATGTTTCTCTTGACTTGATCCTTTTTACTACCTTGAATAATTTACCCTTAAAGTCACAAAGACTACCGGTAATAATAGATAAACATTCATTGTTCCCGAGGTAAAACTAAAAAAATTAGGACAAAGGGACGTCATTGTGGAATTTGTGTGTCATTGACTTTTGTTCTGATAGAATATTTAAACATTTATATCAGGATCTCAAATAACAGAATTTCATTAATGAAGCCCTGTATGAATTGTAGTAAATCCCATGATGCATCTCTCCCTACTGACATGCAAAACTTCACGTTGTCAAACATGAATATTGATGACATAAGATAATTCATGGAATTGATAATTTATCAGTATTCAGTATTTGTTATTTGTCAA